CCCGAGATTTATTTTTATCTTTTTCTTATAAGAGAAGCCCATAAAACAAATATGGATATAATTTCTCTTTTTATATTTGTATTAATTTAAAGTTATGTGTCCTTAAAATTGTGTTTTGTATTACCAAGAACACCCAGAAGCAACACATATTTGAAGCATTGTTAATTAGTTATTGATATTCCCATATTTCAAACAATATTTAGGCTTTATAGATTTTATCTTTTTGGTCATGATAACAATATACTCTTTCCTCCCTCAATTTGGCCAATTTTATAGCATCCCTTAGCTAATCTTCCCTAAGACTGGTGGAGCGTGGGTGTGTGCCTGCTGTGTGCCCCAGGATGGTGTAGACAAAGCACCTGAGAGGCAGGACAAGGTCATGGACAGAACAAGGGCTTTGGGTCAGATAGGCTTGAGTATGAATCTTTGTTTTTCTAGCTATACTTTATCTAACTCTCAGAGTTATCCTTTCATCTACTAAATAACAACTTAGCTTAATGGGTTGGTGTAGAGATTAGATCATATAACATCAAAGCCCTAGGCACATAACGAGCACTCCATGAACGCTTGTTTGTTTGCATTTCCCCCCAACTTTAATGCCAGCTCATTATCCAAATTTAAGCCAAGTGCTTAGCTGTTCTGGGCCTCAAAATCCTTTTATTTACCTGGAGACAACAAAATAATGATATCAGAAAGACTATTACAGTAAATGTAAAATGGAGCTTTTCATTTCCAAAGCATGTTTGCTTACACTACTCCACATAATCCTCACCATCTTCCAGGGCATTATCTTCCTTCTAAACATTGCAGGATCATTGAAACAATGAAAACATTGACAGAAAATGCTATGAAATAATATATACGCACATGTGCATAATTGTAGACAAGATGTGGTTATTATTCTGATTTTTTCTCACTATATTTAATGTGTGTGGTCTGAAGATGATGAAATAAATGAGAATAATAGATTATGAAATAACCAAAATAGGTTTCATTTGAATGAATATACTTTTGAAAGGACTTTTTAAGAAACAGAAGAACAGAGTAGTGAAAACCGTGGGACTGGAGAAAGATCACTTGGGCTTAAACCCAACTTCTGCTTCTTAGAAGCTATGTAACCTTGGGAAAGTCACTTAACCTCTCTATGCCTCAGGTTTCTCATCTGAAAATGTTGACAGTATTAAGTAATGTGCTGTATAAAAGGAGAGTATGTAAGCACCTGGGACTTAATAAACACAGTTACAAAAAAATAATAAATTGCAGCTATTACTATTATTATTATTACTGCCAGGACAGAAAACTACCCTTGTGATACTGAGTATAATGTATTCTTTCATACTTATTTGGCCAATTCAGAAAAGTTAAATGATAACCAAGTCCTCCACATGAACAAAAGAGTACAGTCAATAGAAAATGCTACATTCTGGAGAACATTCTTATGTAGCATAGCATTTTCAGTGCCTTACATATTATCAGTTGAAGTTGTTATTTAAGTAGCCGTCTATTCAGACTTCTGAAATGAAGGATTTGCCTTTAATGAAAAATACCTATTTCATCTTAAGTGTGAAACCCAGTGACCCTGGCTTGGGTAATCTCCCCAGAAGCTTCCACTATATCTTTATGCTGAGCACAGAATAAAGGTATAAATTGAAGCAAATTTATTTCAGATATTATAGATTGGAGGCACAGCTATGTGTGGAAGTGGGCCATGAAAAATGCCACCTCAATGCTCCCCTTGAACCCATAGTAATTTATCTCAAAAACATTGTTGAGCTCCCTGAACTGTAAGGTAAGTAACTTACTCCCAGCAGCTTTAAATCTTCTGCAGGGGACGAGCCAGGACTACTCCTTGGGCTCTAAGTGCTTTGCGCCATGGCTTGGAACTGTGAACTTCATCCAGCATGCCTCAAGGGTGATGATCTGAAGGACAGACAGTGTGCCCAGGCTAGGTTCTCCCAGGACTTTGTAAATGAGAGAGTAAAGTACAAGTCAGCTGCAATGCCCTCATTGTGTCCTGGATGTACCCAAACAGAAGGGGAAAGCATTTACTCACTCACTGAAACAACATTTTGAGTATTTTATTCATTCTCTATATATAGGGTATACACATTTATAAAGGCAGCGTTTATTAAAATACATTTCATTTTCAAAACTGAGCTATCAGCTGTTAAATGTATATACATTTTTGGGGGACACCCTGTATTTATTGAGCACCTACTCTGTGACAGGCACTGTTCTAGGCACCGAAAATAGGAGGTGAACCCAACAAAGTCTATCTGCTCATGAAGCTGACCCTCTTTGTACCAGGCACTGTACTGAGGATACACAAATGAATGAGACCCAGCTCTTCTCTGCAAGGAGCTCAGAGAAAAGAGGGAGAGGAGAAAGGCAGTAAAGTGTGTTGTGATAGGGCCTTTGGAGCTACTCATGACCTCTGAAGATCAGTGAGGGTTTCCTGGAGAAAATGATCCCCAGGATGACTCCCAAAGGGTACAGAAGAGTTGACCAGTGGTCATTGTAGGCAGAGAGAGCGTCTCTGCCAAGGCCCACAGAAATGAGAAGACCCTGTAGTGGCTCAGTGTGTTGCATGGTCAGATGGTGACAGATAGGGATCAGATGGGGAAGGGTCTTAGAAACCATGTTTTATAGCTTTATACTTTATCCTAAGACAATTGGTAGCTATTGACTGATGTCAATCAAGGAGTGACATGAGCAGATTTCGTTTGTCATACAGAGAATAGACTGGGGAAAAGCAAGGCTGCCGCCAGGGGCGCCACAGGGAGAATGTCGCAGTGCTAAACAGGTGAGGGGCAACGTGGTCCGACAGAGGCAGTGAAAACGGATGGAAAACAGTTGGGCACATCTAAGAAATATTATGGCAGTGACTGTCTGGAAGTGGGTGGGAAGGGAGGGTGGAATAAAGCTGACTCCCAGGTTTCTGGCGTGGGAAACTGTACAGAGGATGATGTCCGTCACTAGGAGACGGAGGTGGAGGAACCAGTTCAGAATGAGAAAGTATGGTTAGTGCAGTTTTGAACATATGAGTTTGTGGCGTCTACGGGGCATCTGAGTGGAGGCGTTCAGTAGGCAGTTGAATATGTAGCCTGAAGATCAGGAGAGAGCTATGGACGGAAGTTATCCAGGTAGAACAGTCAAATCCTGGGGCAGAAGCCTGGTAAACATCACATGGAAGTGGTGAGCACAGAAAGAGATGACCGAGCAGGAAAGGACAGAAGGCTAAGAGAAAAATCAGGGTCTATGGAGTCACAGAAAAGAGTGGGAGGATGGGAGAGTGTTAAGAAAGAGTCATCAGTATTAAATACTGATAGAGGCCACTCATAACAGGCACTGAAATGTGTCTATTGGATATAGCAACAGAAATATCATTCTCTAGTAGGGTGATCATCTGTCTGGTTTGCTTGGAACTGTCCCAATTTATGCCTATTGTTCCAGCATTATTATTAGTGCCCCCTAGTGTCTAAATTTGGATAACAAATTACATGATCATCCTGGTTACTGGTTTTTAAGAGCAGTCAAAGATTGCACTGGGTGTAGTGATGAATTAGAAGAGGGAGACATCTAACAAAGGAACTTTTTGAAGAGGTGTGGTGAAGCTATTAGGGAATTTTAACAATAGGTTGCCATTGAACAAGATGAATTTTGAAGTTTCTTCCAATCCTGGGAATAGTTCATTGCATTATTTTCCATTACTATTTCCTTCCCTTCCCTTAAAATCAGTGAGAATTAAGAATCTGTTTTATTTCTTGTCTCCACACATTACAGAGCTAAATGCAGTTTTGCAAAGGCAATATAAAGCAGAAATGTGTAAGCTGATTGTTTCCTTTAAGAAAGTACACTTAGTCCTAAATCAGGCAGAAGATTCATGTTGGCTTTTAAATTACTTTGTATAATAAAGCATTACCGATAATAATTAGGTTGGGAGTAAATATTCTGCCTCTTATGGCAGATACTGCTGACTTAAGAATGCCAGGGAAAAAACACAAGCCTGCAGGTTTATTTACGTCTTTTGGTTTTTGGAACTTCCAGGTTGGATCAAACAGATGTCTGAATTTAAACATCTATATTTAAAATGAGAAAGACATGGGTGCCTCTCTGTATACCATTTAGGTGGAGTAATCATAAGGAATGTATCTGAGGTGATGAAAACTCATTATTACGAGTAAAGTAATATCTCAGAACAACAAACAATGTATATAAAATGGAATAATTTTAAGCCCATATAGATATTACATTAGGTAGGGAGGCAACATAGAGTTTCAAGTCCCTTTGCCTTCCCTGCAGAAGGATGACAAAGGCAAATAGTAACACTCCGTGTGTCTACACCTAAGTATCCTTTCCCAATGCTGTTGAATTTAATTACTGAAGGTCAAGCTTCCAGTTATGAGCCTGTCCTTCTCTCCCCACCTCCCACTGTTGTTAGTTCAGTTTTTAGTAATTAGGTACCTTTAGGGTTAGGATGGGGTGACCCTTAGCTGTCCTTTGTTATTGTTAAGATGAAAATGGTTGCTTTTTAAAAATGTAGAGGAGGGGGTGTCTTTGAAAGAAACATCTACTTGAGAAAAGAGGCTAATGGGAAGCAGTAAATTGTACAGCAGCCATAATTCCTCTGCCATATCTAGGCCCGTGAATAGCCCCATAAAGCATGCTGTAACAGAAAAAGATCTTTCTCTCTTCTTACTGTCTCTCAGGGCAATTAATAAAAGTGCCATCTCTTACTAATCCGACCATATACTATTATGCTAACTAGTCAATGTAACTGAAAAATTCCCAAACATATTTCAAATACTTGCATATTATGCATTCAAGTTGTCAATAAAATTATGCCAAATATACCCTTGTGAAGATAATTCACCCTTTGTTCTTTGGATACCTAATCTAATCAGACCTGAAGCATAACATGCTGCTTTTCTATTTCAGGCCCATTCATTTGCCCAGACATTCTTTGAATCACCTCAGTTTTGTTTCTCTTGTTTTGCAGCAGCAATGGCCTTGGTTTTGCTTCTTTTTTGGAGGGCTACCACCACATAGGACCTGGATGTCCTACTGTTTTCCAAGAACAGGACGAAGACCCTTGCTTTGTCTGTTTCAGTGGCTGTCTGGTAGTAAAACAACTGTGGAGTGGACCAGGGTTTCAGCAGACCATCACGTGAATGGGACCAGTTTCTCTTCTTCACAGATATCAGAAATTAAACACTTGGAAAGGAGATTTGGCCAAGATGACCCATTTACAGGCCGGACTCAGTCCAGAGACTATAGAGAAAGCTCGCCTGGAACTGAATGAAAACCCAGATGTTTTACATCAAGATATTCAGCAAGTCAGGGACATGATCATCACCAGGCCTGACATTGGATTTTTACGTACAGATGATGCCTTCATCCTGAGGTTTCTCCGAGCCAGGAAGTTTCACCAAGCAGATGCCTTTAGACTCCTGGCCCAGTACTTCCAGTACCGCCAGCTAAACCTGGACATGTTCAAAAACTTCAAGGCTGATGACCCAGGCATTAAGAGGGCGCTCATCGATGGGTTCCCTGGAGTGCTGGAAAACCGTGACCACTACGGCAGGAAGATTCTCCTGCTGTTCGCAGCCAATTGGGACCAGAGTAGGTAAATGTAGATAGTGTCTTTACTTGGTTTTTCTTTGTCACAAGATTAGCCTCTGCATGTTGGGGCTGTATGGCTTTATAGGTATTTGGCTTTCGTTTAAAAAATGTATATTTCACATACCTACAAAGGAAGTTTTAAGGCCACAACTTCACTGTCTTCAGAAGGTAATTTCAGATTCATGACTATTTTATGGAACAACGGAATCATAGTGTTAGAACTGTAAGACACCTTAGAAGTCATTGGTCTCTTCATCAAAGTGAGTCATTTATTTTAATAAAATTGGAAGCCGTTCTTCTAGAAGAGCCATATATTCTGTCTTTAGTGTTCTTATCTTTAGCCACCACAACAAATATGGATTCAGGAGATAGCTTCAAATCAAGTATTTTCAAGACATAAAATAATTTCTTGGGTGCCCCCCAACATGTCCCTAACTGAATGTGTCATCTTCCCTGCGATACCTGCCTTTCCATCCATCCAGTGTCTTGAGCCAGAAATCTGGGTGTCATCCTGGGCTGCTCCTTGCTTTTGCTTCTTATATCCAATTAATTGCCAAGCCCTATCCTTTTCAAATCTCTTCCTTTTTCCCCCACTGCTGTTGCCTTAGTTTAGGCTCTTATCGTCGCTCACTTGCAGAACCACAAAGCTTCTCAGTTGGCACTCCTGCCTCTGGTTTCGTGTCTCCTGAGCCATTCTTGTCTACGTTGTAGCCAGAGCGACCCTTACAAAATTCTGTCATGTTATTCTCCTGATTAAAATTCTTCAAAGTAAAGGGAGGCCCGTTATGATCCACCTTCTGCATCGCTGCTTCACCCTCTGCCCTTCTTCTGTTCTCTGGTCCAGCTGGTTGGAAGTATAAGCCTTGCCTTGAATAGCTGAGGCCTTTACACGCTTCCAAGCCTTTGGACTTGTCTCATCAACACTTAAATGAGAGACCATCCACTTCCTGTCCCTGCTCAAACTATTCTGGGCACAATCTGATTCATATGCATCTTTATGGTCCTTCAGGAAGGTAGTCTTCCTCTCCCCCCACCCTAACCCTTTTTAGTTAGGTGCCTTCCTCTGTCCATGTTGCTTTCAAAGCATCTACATAGATGTGTAAAAACCACTGTTATCATAGCCAATATTTTTGCATACTCACCACATACTCCACCAAAGTGTGTGTGTGTGTATATAGTTTAACCCACCAAGAACTTTGTATTACCGGAATTATTATTATCCCTATTTTACATCTGATGACACAAAGCTGTTAGAAGTTCAATAACTCACTCAGTGCCACACACTAGTAAAATGTGAAGAGGGAGTTGAACTCCGGTAGTGTGACTTCAGAGTGAGTTGTCTTAGCCCCACTTTATTGTAATTGTGTATTTACTTGTGTGCTCTTTTTACCCCTTCTCCTAAGACTGCAGGTTCCTTGAGGGAGGGAGACTGTGTTTTCTTTATGCCTATATGTGTTGAATGAGAAAGAATATATGAATCAGTCTCCCAAACTTCACCTGTGGTTTGAGCTTTCACTGAGTTGTCTCCATGGAAATTCTCCTGTTACTTGGGGAGGCACAGGTAGATAATAATAAAAATAACATTAAAAACCTACTAAAGAACCCCTCCCGCAATGTAATTAAAAGGAATTTCTAAGGTGCCCCTTTACTGCCTCATATCACTACCCTTCCTCTTAAATATATTGATAGCATAGGACACCTTAGCAATACTGGCTATTTTCTGGTTAATTGGGATAGGGCACTCTCACTCTGAAAGGGAGTTGAATATTTTCACACTATGAGTCCAGAGTCTGGCCAAGTCTGCACCTGAGCTTGGCCTGCCTTTCTGTGTTTCTGCTCTGTCATTCCATCAGTATTAATGAGGAGCCTCTCGTTCCAGTGCTTTATTGAAGAGAAAGGTTTCCAGGTCTTTATAGTCACCTGTCGGTCATTCACTCAACAAACATTTAATGAGTATAGACTTTGCGCCAGGGCTTGTAGCAGGCACTGAGGACAATGGTGAAAACGCAAGGCCTCTGCCAGCAGAGCTCCTTGTGCAGCCCACTGTCCAGCAATGGTGCCGACACATGAGCTACTGACTCCCACCTTCCACGGGGGGATTCCTCCTGGGGCACAGCCATCAACACCGGATGTCAGTCTTAAACTGGACGGAATGGCCGTCCTTTAGAGAATGGCACATTAACATTGGGATTTGAGAACAGGAAATTTTTGACGATTCTGAAATATCATGCTGACTTCATTTGTGCTTAGTTGTAAGTGTTCTAGAACCTCCATCTGCTAAGACAGATGATGCATAGACGCCAGTCTGTAGTGATTTACACATGGAGAAATAAGTCATAGCAAAGCATCTTATTTCTTATTAGTGTTTGGCCTGTGTATATACCTCAAAATGCATGAAGAAGAAATAATAAATAGTAATAGTAAGAAGAAGCAAATCTTTGAGAAAATGATCCAAATGTTGGTGATTATGATAATCTTGGATGAGTTACTTCGCTTCTTTGTTCCTCAGTTTCCTCGAGTGTAAAATAAGAAGCTTGAGCTACGTAATTCCTGAGATACTTTCCAGCTCTAATGGCTCATGAATGGGAAGCTCATTTAGCTTAACACTGTGGCTGGAAAAGGATTTTAAATTCACATTACAGGCTCTTAATCCACTAGGCTTTGAGAAGTAATCTCTCTCTTTCTCCCCCTTTCACCACCCCACCCCCAAGGCTTGAGTCACTGTTTTTCAAACCGTACAATAATATTTGTTCCAAATATTTTGGCTGTAACAAGAAGGTGAATGATAAAGCTATGCCCTTGACAGCCAGAGGTCATGAGAAGCAAATGAACCTCAGTTAGAATGTGGATACACGATCATGTGATTTACTGGTTATATGACGTGGGACAAGCAACCTCCCTGAGACTCAGTTTTCTCATCTGTAAGGTGGGATGATGATAATGTCTGTCTAACAATGTAGTTGGCAGGATTGAATGAAATAATGCATTTAAGAACACAGTTCATTGTTTGGCAATTGGTAAGCACTTAATATTAGCGTCTAGTATTATTATTAATATTACAAAACACCCCACTACAAAAATAATGGAGCATAGATGGTAAATAAATTAAAAATATAGGCAGGAGTACAATGTTTGAAAATGAGAGTGAGCTGATGAGTGTCATCTGCCGCACACCCATCCAAAGCGCTTGTTTGTTTTCTTCTAAAACATGTTCCCTGTTACACAGACCCAGGATAAATGGGGCCCAAAAGGTCTGGAAAAGTTGGCACAACTTTGCCAAGTGATTACTTCACGCTCGCTGGGAGCTTGCGATGACTGGGAAGTGATTTGTATGTCTCATACATCACGTTTACTGAGATTAAAATGGTTAATATTTATTAAAACTATGTAAATCTTATTTATCTAGACTCAGACACACAAACAAAACTGCGGTACAGTGCGGGATGGGAAGCAGGATGGTCCAGAGGCACAGGCAGGGCTCTGCCTGCCTCGTTAGGTGTGCCAGCTGAGGTGCAGGAGCGCCCTGGGCTATGGAGCACAAACCGGCCTCCTCCAGAAACCGGGCCACAGCGGACAGCTCTCTGACTTCTGTATTTTCTGAGGGTGCCAGGCAGAACTGAAATGAATTAGATTAAATCAGCACCCACAGATTCAGTCACAAAATGAAGCTTTCAGGGGCAGCAGAGTTTACGTTTCAGCTCACCAGCGTGGAATGTGATGGTGACTGAAGAGAACACTGTTGCTCAATGAGCCCCTTGTTCTTTCTCACCTAAACTCACATCAGCATTGGCAAGAATCCATAATTTGCTCCTCAAGATCTGATAGCAATGAATTCTATTTCCTATTTCTTTCTGGGTTGCATACTTACACTTGGTCATATAGCTTGATTTGCCCAGGAATGCCCTTCCCACAGAAAGGGAAATGTGAGCACGGTTTCCACAGATTTCACTCAGTTAAAAAGAGGTAAACTTGCTCGTTATTTTACTTTCTGGAATATCAGTTTCACCAAGTGGAAATGGGTATAATATCTGGCATGTGGAGCTGTTGCGAGGATTAACCCCAATTACCCTACTTGATGCTGTCCAAGAGGCGGAGTAGAATAGTGATTAAATGCACTATCTCTGAAGCCAGATGGCCAGTTTCAGATCTCAGCTGCCTCCCAACCAGCCATGTGATCCTGAGCAAGTTGCTTAAATTCTTACTACCCTCAGTTTCTCACCTGTAAAGTGAGGGTGACAATGATCACAGGCTAGCACTAGTTGGCATTCAGTAAATGGCAGATGTTTCTTAAGAAAAAAATTCAAATCAGGCAGATATCTATGATTCTGGGTCACAAGATGTATCTTTTAAGGGTGGCAGGATTTGATGCCATAACCAACTTTTCTCTACCTAAAAAAGTATGAAAAATGCAACTGCGACTCCAAGCTACTGTGTTCCAAAGCTCTCTATTGTAGCTCAGTTGCAGCTCTGAGAAATCACCCGGTCTTAGGGTTTCTACCTATTGTGTTTAATATATTCTCAGGATTTAAGAAAGGCATTTGGGGGGTCCAGATATTAAAAGCCCCACAATAGACTACAATAGCATCCATTAGTGCTATGTGTAGACCAGCTGGTCTTGAAGTACTTTAGTGGGGAAAAAACAATGATAATGCATTGTAAATCATAATATATAAAATTGCATGGACATTCTTTTGTCAGTGTATTGTTTGTTTATCACAATTGAAAGTTCAGAAGTCAGCAGCTAGGTTGAAAATTAGTTTAAAAGTTGGTTCTGTAAGGAAGCTGAGGCACTCTAAGGAAAAGCTAAGCTAGAGTAATTTAGTAGAGAGCAAAAAGTGCTGATGAACAACTTGATTACTACCTTCAAGTATATGGAATTACTCTAAAGAGGCAATTAATCCAGTAGGCTCTTTCCCCACCATACAGAACAAAGGCTAAAAGGTTTGGATTAAAGTACAACCGACTGCACCCTGGACAGTGTGGCTCAGTTGGTTGGGCGTCCTC